CCGGGCCCCCCTTCCCCTTCTAGCCTCTCCAGGTCCCCGCACGGCTGCTTCTCCCGTGTCCCGTCAGGTCAGCTGGGCCGACTGCCGGCTGCCGAACGCCTTCACCCTTGTGCGTGCTCCTCCTCCTCTTTAGCTGGGAGGGCGGCCCCCCAGGGAGCCCCTGCTTCTCGGTACCTCGCACACCGCCTCACTGCCTGTCGCTCTTGGCCTTCGGCGTGGTGACACCTGAAGCGGGGACTCCGTCTGGCCCCTCTGCAGCACTTAGCACGTGTGGCAGTCAGCAGTTCCGAGTGTGTGGAGAAAGGCTGTCCGGCTGTAACTAGAGCAGGAGGAGCGGGGACAGACGGTCACCCCAGCCCTCCCTGCCTGACCAGGTCTGTCCCTCGCTCTTCCCTCCTGGCTGCAGCTGCAGGCGAGGAGGAACCAGGGAAGCCGCGCCACACCATGGTGAAGAATGGCCACACCATCCCTGTCGGCAGTGCCAGGCCGCCTAGCCCAGTCCAGGACGAGCCAGCAGGGCTGGCGAGTGTTCGGAAGCCCACCCCAGAGGAGGGCCTGAAAAAGCACCTGGGTGAGAAACTGGAGCTTCGAGTCGGAGAGCCAGGGGTTGAGCAGTCTCATGTGCCTCAGGAGCTCGCCGAATGTGGGAGGTAGCTGGGCTGGCAAAGGCGAGATGGTACCTGCCACCCTGTGAGACTGGGGCCCGCAGGGAGGGCCTGGTCTCTGCCCCGAGGCGGTCTTCCCCATGGGCCAGGGCCCAGGCTGGTGAGCCTGTCTTTCTCGCTCACTCTCCCTCTCAACTCTCTCTGTCTCTTTCTCTTGGAAGAAGTAACTAAAGTTTTAACAAATAATTATTTATTTCATTTTATTTATTAATTCAGTCATTTTCATTTGACCAGAGAAAGACAGGCACACAGAGAGAGGGAAAGTGAGAAAGCAAGCCACCAGGTCTGAGACCAGAACCGCACTCGGCCATGTGGAAGTGTCCAGTGCCATAACCACCACACCGCCTGCTGATCCAAAGTAACGAAGTTCTTAAAAAATCCAGAGGGAGGGGGACCAGCAGTTGGCGTAATGGCTATGTCGCTGGATTCCCATGTTGTGGATCGTGGTTCGAGTCCTGGACCCGGTGGCTTAAACTCACGCACGGCACGTGTGCATGCGTGCGTGCCCAAGATCCCAGGAGGAGAATGGAGGAGAAGGGATTGTGGTGTGACCATCCCCCCTGGGGGGTGATTTTACACTTTCTGTCTCTCTGTCTCTCTGTCTTTCTGGTGAGTGCATGTGCCCTATAGCAAAAACCTCTCCAAAAAAAAATAAAATAATTCAGAGAGAGGGGCCAGCAGGCGGCGTGGAGGTTAAAGATGCTGGATTCCCATGTGGCCAACCATGGTTCGAATCCTGGACCTAGCAGCTCACATTCTTCCTTTCCCTTTCTCTCTCTGGTCAAATTAAAGAAATAATAACAACAAATAGAACTAAATAAATATTTTCTTTTAAATCTAGAGGGAATGACATTCCTCTTAGCAGTTTGTCAGTGAGCTTCATTCACTGACATTCCTTAAGTGTGCTGAGACGGGATACGTCAAGAACTGCAGCCTCACTGACCTAGTCCGTGGACGAATAGGCATGAAGTCGGCCATAAGGCCGCAGGGTGTCAGAGCCTCGGCCTCTCGGGCTGGTCTCTCCCCCCTTCAATGGCATCTGTCTTGCAGGTCCGACTGGAGGCCAACCTGGCTGGGAAGCAGAGTCTGCCCCTCAGGGCATGCCCAAACAGCCTCTACTTCCCCCCAGGAGGCCTCTGTCCTCCTCTCATGTCACAAGTGAAGGGCAGACAGAGGGTGCCATTTCCTTCAGCACGGCGAGGCGCACCTCTCCCACTCCCCCCGCCTCCACCACGGCCCCCGCTGCCTCCACAAACCCAGCAAAGACTGCAGAGGCCGTTGTCAGCCCTTCCCCGGCCCCCAGGACGCTGCCTGCTGTGCCCGACAGCACGAACACTACCATGACCCCGAGCCTCCCTCGCACAGTTCCTGCCAAGCAGCCCCCCGTGCCGCCCCCTAAGCCGGCTCCCAGGAGCAGCAACCCCATGGTTGGTAAGTGCCCCCGGCGTTGGGGTCCAGTCGTGGTCTGTGACAGTTTCCCAGCGCTGTCCCTTTGCACATCCTCAGAATAGAGACAGGCTTACGGAGGAAGCAGCTGTGGCCAGCACATGGCTGGCCATGGTTCAAATCCTGGACCTAGGGAGTTGTTTTTTCAGTTTCTCTCTCTCTCTCTTCCTCTGGCGAGCACACGTGCCCTATAACAAACTTAAAAAAAAGTAATAAGTAAAATAAAATTAAATAAATAAGTACTTTTTAAAAAAAGGCGAGTCAGTCGGTGAAGATAAGTGTACGATGGTGTAACTGGTGAGTCAGTGTCTGGAGTGGCACCTTTTGGGGAACTACAGAAGGTATTATTTAGCTTATTCTGATAAAATTACGTTTTATTGGGGCCGGCAGGTGGAGTGGTGGTTAAAGGCACTGGATTCTCACATGGTCGACCATGAAAATTACACCAGGCCCGTGGTGTGTGTGTGTGTGTGTGTGTGTGTGTGTGTGTGTGTGTCCGCACACGCGCCAAAATTCCTGAGAGAATAGAGAAGGGACTGCAATGTGGCTGTCCCCGGGGCAGGAGTGGATGGGTGATTTTTCATTTTCCTCCTCTTGGTCTCTGGCTGGTGAGTGCCCACACCCTATGGCAAAACCCTTAATTTAAAAAAAAAAAAAAAGTGAATGGAAACATTACTAGAAAGATAGCAACCACCAAAGCTGACTCAAAAAGAAATAGATGATCTATGGGAACCAGCAGTTAGCGTAATGGCTATGTCGCTGGACTCCCACGTAGTCGACCACGGTTCGCGTCCTGGACCCGGTGGCTTAAAACTCACACTTGGCGTGTGTGCGTGCGTGCCCAAGATCCCGAGAGGAGAATGGAGGAGAAGGGATTGCAGCGTGACCATCCCCCCTGGGGGGCGATTTCTCGCTTTCTGTCTCTCTGTCTCTCTGTCTGTCTGGCGAGCGCACGCGCCCTATAGCGAAAACCTCTAAAAAAAAAAAGAAAGAAAGAAATAGATGATCTGAATAGATCCCAAATGAGTAGAGATGGCATTTGTAAAAAGAAAGAAGGAAAATCATATTTTATCTTGTAAGAGTGAAGAATGATGCGGGCCGACAGGTAATGTGGTAGTTAGGGGCGCTGGACTCCCACTTAGCTGACCACGGTTCAGGTCCACACTAGGCGGCTTGCTTTCTCGGTTTTCCTTTCTCTCTCCCTCTCTCTCTTTCTGGTCAAATTAGAAGTAACTATAGTAATGATGATGACAAATAGAATTAAATAAGTAAGTCCTTAAAACAAATGCGACATGCCAGCAGACAGTGTGGGTGAGGCACTGGATCCCACATGGCTGACTCCAAGGGCAAGTCCTGGACCCGGTGGCTTGGACTCATGCCAGGTGTGTTTGCACGCGTGCCCGAAGACCCGAGAGAAGGAGGACAAGGCATTTCAGCGTTGCTATCCCCTTTTGGGGGGCTCTTCTGTCTTTCTCTGTCTCTCTGGTGAGCGCGTGCACTCTACAGCAAAGACAAGGAAAGGGGAGAGTGCTGCTTTGGGCCAGCCTGTGGCATGGTGGTCAAAGCAGCCAGCTCCCACGTGGCCGACGGCACAGTTCACGTCCTACCTGCATGGGTGTGTGCCCAGGACTCGAGGCCACAGCGATGGAGATGGGACTGTGGCGTGGCCGTGCCCCACAGGGGTGCCTTCTCACTTTCTTTTTTTTTTTAATAATTTTTTTGGAGGACCAGCAGTTAGTGTAATGGCTATGTCGCTGGACTCCCACATAATCGACTGCGGTTCGAGTCCTGGACCCAGTGGCTTAAACTCATGCCCGGTGCAATATTTTATTTTATTGCCCTCCGGCAATATTTTAAAAAATGCTGTTCTATGTTAAAGCAAATGGTGTTAGAGCAGGGACGGTGAATAGTACTTTTCTTTTCTTTTCTGTAGAAAGGACTTTGCTCGTGGGCACATGTGCTTATCAGAGAGACAGAGTGAGAAATCACCCCCCAGAGTGGATGGCCATGCCGCCTTCCAATGGGATTTTGGGCACACATGCATGCACACTCAACCAGCATAAATTTTAAGCTGCCAGGTCTAAGACTCAAACCGTGGTCCACTACATGAGAGTCCAGCGACATAACCATTAGACCATTTGCTGATCCCAGTAAACAGTGAATTTTAATGTATTGCTTAGGGAATTTTTTACACCCATCCAAAGACCTACTTAGGTCTCTTTTTCTCACATAAATGCACACCTCCTTAGAGAAATTTTTAAGAAAAGGAAGGCGGGAAGGTTCATGAGTGTTTCAGAGCTCGTGAGTGTGTAGTTCCCAGGAGAAATGGCACCTGGGTAGTTCTGAAAGGTGGTGGTGGGCGGTGCGTGAAGGCCAGGCTCAGTAAGCAGCTGATGTCACTTGGTCGGGTGGAGTGGCCACAGCCTTGAAGAACAGCTCAGACCTTTCCAGGAGTGGGACAGGTTGGAGCAGCTGGGGGAGCGTGGGGCACGCTGCCACACCCCTGGGTGGGCAGATCCTGCTGACTTACTCTGGGAAGCTCCATACTTGCTTCCAAAACTATGCTGTGCCTCTGGAGACCCACTCTGCCGCGGGTGTGTTCAGGGCCCTGGGACAGGAAGACGCCATGCCTCGAACAAAGACCGTGAGTAGTGAAGCGGGAACTGCGTGCAGGCCTCCCCCTCGGGAACAGACTCCACCTCTGCCTTGGCGTTCTCACCTCCTCGGTTTGGTGTTCTTCCTGGGGTCACTTAGAAGATATCCTCATGCTGAAGACGTGGGCCCTGCCCCGAGTTTCTGAGTGTGGCGGTGACGTCTGGGACATGCCTGAGAGCTTACAGGCCAGAGGGTCCCTATGCCTTGGTGCTGCTGGGACAGGGGCCTCACATGGAGGCTCTGCCATCTCACCTGCTCAGGTCGAGGTGACGGAGACAGGACGACGGCCAGTGTCCTGGGCAAGACTGTAGGCCTAGAGCAGCAGGCTAGCGATGGGACAGCTCGGGCCCTGCCTGCACCGTGCCTCGCCTAGCGGGAGCGGACTGCTCAGGCCTCTGGTTACAGTTAGGCAGACTCGGCTTAAAGGCTGTCCTCCTTCCCAAACGGCCTTGCCAGTCTTGGGGCTGAAGTGCATGTCTCTCACAGCTCCTTAGGCTGGTCAGTTGCCCTTTGCTCAATATCAAGCCGAGCTGGAAATGCTGAAAAGTGACATCCCAAGGTCAGTCGAGTGTTTTTACTGGTGCCTTGAAATCCAGAAGTTCGGGAACGCGGCCTGACAGTGAGTGATAGGCTCGGGACATGCCGCCCCAGCCAGATGGCTGAGGGGCCCAGGAGCTTGGACATCACTGCTCCCAGCCCTCGGCCAGCCCTCACGGCCCACTGGCCGTCGTCTTGGGAACGTGCATCCGCCAAGGTCACAGGTCGCTGCTTTGCCCTTGCAGAAGTCAGCACTTGGGGACTGGCCGGAGATGAGTAGCTGGAGAAGCCCCTGCCGCCTTCAGGAAAGCAGTGGGACTCGGGCCCAGGCTCTGCTCGCAGTCCCGCAGGGCAGCCCTGCTTGTGTGTTGGCCTCCCCACAGTCCCTGCTGGTGCTGCCGCCTCTGCACTCAGGGCCTCCTGGGGCACAGCGTCCTCACTGGTGTCTCCAGGGTGCCCACTGGAATGGGGGCAGGGCACATGATACCTTATTTCAGGGAATCTTGGGGGTCTACTTGAGAACAGTAGTTGGGACCAAAATAAAGGATTTGAGTAGCAATTGAGAGACTGTTCAGCAATTCCCTCCTGCCCGCCGTGACAATCCCCTCCTGCCCGCCGTGACAATCCCCTCCTGCCCAGCGTGGCGATCCCCTCCTTGTGGTGTTGCATCCTTCCAGTTTGGTGTTTAGAGTCCTTTGAAGGGACTTTGCTGAGTCGCGGTAGGCTCTGGGGAACTGGCGGTGAGCTGTGTTGGGGACAGAATGAGTATGCCCCTCACACAGACATACTGGCCCACGTGGAGCAGGGCTGTGTGCAGCCCCTTGGCCCTGCAGGCCACCCAGGGTGCTCGGCCTTCCACAGGCAGACCCAGGAGGCTGGAACAAAGAGGACAGTGGGGCAGATGCTCATGGCCCTGACATCAGGGTCCCGAGGCCCTGTAATGGCTTGCCAACTGGGGACCCCAACCCACCGGCTTGCAGTACAGTTGAGGGCGAGCCACCCAGCTTGCAGCGCAGGGAGACTGCCAGCCAGGGCAGAAAAGCACTTGGGTTTCTTCTCAGGCCTTGCGTTTGCTGCTAGAACCCAAGCTGTTGTTATCGGTACTTTCGTAGTGCTCAGCGGAGATCTGTACCAGAAACATTTTTTAGGGTTTTGTTATAGGGTGTATGTGCTCCCCAAAGAGATGAAGAGGGGGGAGTCACTCGTGTGTGCTGCTGCTGGGTCCAGGACTCGAACCGTATTCAGCCATGTGAGAATCTAGTACCTTAGCCACCACGCCACCTGCTGGTCCTGGGTACCAGTATTTATCCAGGTGGGGTGGCGGTGCCCGTAGAGCGGGGCTCCACTCCGTCTGTGTATTGGCGTTTCCTGAGGGGGTACTGGGGCACAAAAGAGCTCCTTAGCGGCCTCTACTGTCTCTGTCCACACCCATCTCCTCCACGCCCGGACCAAGGTAGAAAATCGTGGAGTGCCGTTAGAGCAGCGTGTAGGAAGCCTGTCTTCCCGAACCTCCACCTGCTCTTTAAGCCGTTCTCGAAGCGTCTAGGTTTGTTCCGGGATGAGCGGTGTAGGGACAGCAAAGCTGGAAATTTATAGATTGGTTTGAAAGACTGAGCCTGAGCTTGGCTCTGATTGTGCAGCCAGGGCCGCCCCGGGGTACTGAGAAGCCGTGTTAAGTGGAGCTGTTGCCCTCTTTCCAGCCGAGCTGTCCCACGCAGTGAGCAGCCGCAG